ACAAGACCTCAAAGCTGAAGATACTAGCTCTGCAACACATCTAATTATACAAAAACATAATGTACTGGAGCAGAGTACAGAACTCATACATCAGAGCACGTCTCAGATGTATAGTACACACAAAAGAAAATTGCAAACGCTTAACATTGGATTTTAGAAGATACACAAAAACACAAGACTGCAATTCTAAAAGGGCTTTTTTAAAAAAATAGAATGAAAGAAGGAAGACCTTGTACGTTTATAGCACCTATAATTCTGAAACATATCAAAGCACTTCACTACAATTGTAGTCCCCTGTCTACTGTTATTTTGTAGGTAAATAAATAAAAGGGATTAGACACAAGACAACCGCTTATGAATAAATGCAAACACCTCATCTTCCAATTTTTAAATCTGAAATTTGTTATACCCCATAAATAAAGAAAAATCTGAATTAAACGTATTTAACATAAGCGGAGACAATATGGTACCAATGCACTGAGCTTCACGCAAAATACCCTCAAACTCTAATTTACCCTAAAATAAAGGGTACTTGTTATTGGACTTCAGAAGTGTGAGTCTAATCTACACTTACAATCAATAGTACTGCCCAGGCATCAGAAAAGTTCAGATAAGACAGCTCAGTCTCCAAGAGGCTCACATTTATGTGTCTGGAATGAAAATATCTCCTAGCCATGATTCTGTACAAATAGCCAAGTGTCCGCTTCTGTTGTGGACGACAATTAACATTCTTCAGCAGGGAATACATCTAGAAATCGTTTTCTTCAGTGATGTTTTCCTTGTCTGGTGAGTACCACTTAATGGAAATCCTTTTAATGGGACCATTTGCTCAGGCATCAACATATTCTCCCCATAATCCACAGTCGTTGTTTAATTGGATCCATTAGATAAAGGAAACTTTCTCTCACCTCAGGGTACTCCCATTAAGCAGCTGCTAAATCTGCATGATGGTAAAGCCAATCAAGCTAGTACCTTGAAAAATGTGCCATTTTGGCAATTTATTTGAAATGTATACTTGTGCACAGATTTGAGCTCCAAGCGATAGAATAATATTTGGTTTTTTAGTCACGAATATACAGCTGTTTTATCTCAAAGTTATATTGAAGCTCAGTGAGTGATGCACATAAACCAAAGCCCCTCTACTGGTGCCAGCAGGGCATCACTGCCCATGATCACGGAGCTCCCATTTCCTCCAAAATTTGCGAGCACCACCACATATGGTCAGGGGCACCTGACATGTCTTGTTTCCACCCGCCCATTTACTAAGCCATTCTTGAGAATCTGTGGAAACTCTACACCCTAGTGTGCATTCTTACCATACGCACATTTAATCTACTTACAGTAGCATTGTGAATCCATTGCACTGGTGAAAAGGGGTCAGATTAACACCAATAAGTGAAGTAAGTCAATTTGTGCATTAGTTTCTAGGGTGTCTGTTCAGCTATTACACCATCTACTTTCACAGTCTCTCTGTCGTGGAGCTGTCCAATTTGACTGTGATTCATCTGCTTTATGCTAGTATTTCTGTGTCCAATTTGCACCATTATTGCATGAATTTAGCATAATGTCTAGTACAAGAATATTTATGACTTCTAAATATAGGGACTTGTACTCCTGTGCAACCTTGTAATCCAAAATCACCAAACAGTTTTGCAACATATAATCCACATTTTAAAGCCCTTTTTAAAATACCTTTTCCATTGAATTTAATTTCTTTGAGTTCTTTTTTATATAAAGGTCTGAACCGTTGCCACCCTGAGCCTCTCACTTGAATATTATGAGAATATTAAAGGACGCTTCCCCCTTTTTACATGTAGGGATGGGAAGGGGCACGTGGCTTGTTCAATGTCTGATTGAACACCCTAGTTTCTCTATCCTAGTCACCAATTTGCTAATATGTTTTGATTCCCATTACACTTCTTCAAACTTTCTGATGACTTAACTCAAGAGTCAATAGCAGTACATTTCAGAATAAGCTAAACAAGCTAACCAGGGTAAAACTAGTCATTTGGACCGGGAATGAATTCCATCCACTGCCAGATGACAATCTAGGCAGAACAATACCCAATGATTGCCACTAGATGTCTCTTGCTCGAGTGGCAGAAAATCCACATTTCAGATATTCAGGAAGCTTCTCTATGGATACATTTTGCCGACACATTCTCAGAACCAGGTATGTGTATATGAGATAGTTAGCATTTTACGCAACGGTTTTACGATGATCTAATAAACTGTTAGCTGCAAGTTTTGTTGTCTGGTGGTTCTATGGCCTTAATTTTGACTCTCAATACCAGCAAACAGAACAAAAAAATACAAAGCTCGACAATATTTCTTCCTCTCCCCTCAAAAGTAGGAATATGATTACTCTGTACCAAGTTACCAGAGCTACAAAGAATTCCTTGAACTGAAAGCTAGACTGAGATAATAGTTGACCACAGAAGGCTTGATGCATTGCTACTGTCGTATGGCAGTAAAGTAACACCGTAGCTACTGGAATGCATACATGCAGGAAGGAATAGCTGTTTAAATCAAGCTGTGACTCTCTGACTATGAAGCTGGTGTTTCTTTTGACAGAGAAACTGATACAGTAATTTAATCAGGAGCAACAAAAATCCTAGCCAAGTCTGCAAAAGATGACAAAAAAAAACTTGGCGGCAATCAAAATAGATCGTCTAATAGAATTGCGATTGGCACAATTATTTCTGACAGGAGCCGCAATTTGCAAAGGAAGAAGTGCGTTGTATGGGTACAACAAAACCTGTTTGCTTAAATGTTTTTAAAAATATATAGTGAATAGGGTACCCAAAACAAAGAGAAAGCTATCATTTCCCGTATGTAAAATACTGCTATGAGAACCACTCTACACGTCTAACAGAGGCAGTGAAATAAAACACAGTTAACCTGTAAAAAACACACTCCAACAAATCTTTTTTTACATCTTCAAGAACAAGGGCAACAATGATCCTTTTAAATCTTAAGGATATACTCGGGTCATCAACATGCACTGCACTGAACTACTCCTGAAACTGAGAATTTCATTTTCACAAAAAAATCACAGAAATCATAAAACCCTTGCCAATGTTTGCTTTGCCGCTGTTTGTTGCTTGATATTATTACAAAAAAAAGTATTGATAATGTCACAAGTAACCTTACCCATTGATCCTAGAAGAGCACTACCCTACGACTAATCTACAAGTTACTACAGTCTCACTGTGTCGTAGGGTTGGGGGATAGAATGTTTCAGAATCAGCAAATTCACAAATAATTTCCTGGCGTGTTCAGTACTGTCATTGTAAAATATTAATGGAATATATCATATTGGACTATAATTAAATCCTGGAGTAACTACATCATGCAAGATTTTGTCCGTTTGCACAATTTACTGTGTATCAAGCAAACGCACAGATCTTTTCACAGTATAATAGCTGACATTCTTATAGCTTGCCCACCATCACTGTGGAGAAGACTTTTTAAGGCTTCAACATTCTCATCATAATTCAGAAAAAAACCTCATATTGTTTATTCTTACGGTTTACAGAAAAGCTACGAAGGGGAAACATTTATAAAAAGTTCTTAACAATTAAATAAAAAACTTTTTTTTAAGTGAGTTTACATTCCCACAAATTTTCTCAGAACGGAAGAAACAATTTTAATACTTTCACTCCCCCACCCAAAAATAAAACCACTCCGCAAGATTAAATTTACAATAGGAATACACAGCAGTAAGAAGGGGCGATTTCAATCTCTAGTCACTTGGTTGAGAAGAAATTTGGTTAAATATTTCGCTGAATTACTTCTTTCCGAATTATTTCAGAACCGAATCGCCGAAGTAGTGAAGCCAAACCAGCAGCCGAGGATTGCGGGTGTAACAATAATAATCCTTGCAACTCACAGAGCGCATTATCGCGGCGTCGAGGAGGCGTCTCAAAGCGCTTCACAGAACACGCCGTAAAGTGGAGCGACGAGCGCGCTTTGTCGGCGAAGCACGGCGGCCGACTGGTGCCGCGCAAACAGTCGTGAAAGGAGCGACCAAATTATTATTATTATTATTATTATTTTAGCATCAATGACAACTTTACTGACTTACCATGTGCCATCCCCTCCCGCCCACCCACCCCCTCTGAACTGAAGCTGCCTATTTTAATAGATTCCTCTTTATTATGGGGTGTTTTTATATATATATACATATATATGTGTGTATATATATTGGGGAGGGAGAGGGGTAGGGGAAACAATTGCAATATTTGACGTGCATCAAAAGGGAGGAGAGGAAGTGAAGGGGAAGGGAAGGAAAGTAACCGACTTGACTTTAAGCACTTTAGCCCCAGATAAACAATCCGCTACCGCCCTCTTGCGGGATTCCGCCTCCCGCAAAGCCATGGCATTTTGAGGGGGGCTTCAAATAATCCTCCTCCCGCCCCCCCCCCCAACCCCCAACCCCCTACACACACACACCACACACACACACACACACACAACCGGTGGAAAGTGACAGCGGCTGAGGGATGGGATGGCGGCGGCGGCGGTGGTGGGGGGCGGTGGGGGCAGAAAAAAAATACACGGAGGGTAGTAGACACGTCTCTCCCGTTTACACCACAGAGAGTGACAAGACAGGGACACGCAGACCGACAGGTTAGACAGACAGCGGGACGGCCATCCCCGGCTTCTCCTCCTGTCAGGGAGGGAGGGAGGGAGAGAGGGAGAGAGGGAGGGCGAGGATTCAAAAAATAACGGTTTTTTTTTTCCGCTCCGTTCGCAGCGCTTTCCTGTCGGATTCACCTCATTGTCGCCCTCCTCTCCTCTCCCCCTCCTCCCTCCCTCCCTCCCCGCCCCCCCCGACGCTGTCAGCGCGAGCAGAATTAATATTTTTTGATATTTCCCCCCCACCCCCCGTCCGTGCGTGTGTATGTGTGTATGTATTGCGGGTATAGATGTACGTACGTGTGTGTGTGTGTGTGTGTGTAAAAAAAACACACGACCGTCGCTCCCTCAGTCCTTACCTTCCGGCTTCTTTTCGGCAGCCATTGCTCAGTCCCCCCACTTACATCCCTAAACCCGAGCGCCGGAGAAGACCTCGGCTCAACCGAACCTGCAGCGCGCGCCGACCCAGCCCCAGCTCCCAAGCCCCGCCCCCTCTCTCTCTCTCTCTCCCACTCCCGGCGCTGCCATTGGCCGGCCCCCGCTCAGCTCCCGCCCCTCCGGCCGTCGGATCGAAGCGCGGTTGGACGCCGCGCCCGCCCGTCGAGGCGGCTTCCGGTCAGCGGGTGAGGTTGCGCGACGCCCCGTTCCCCGCCCACTTTCCTCGCCGCGTGCCGCGAGCGCACGTCGCGTGGGAAAAAACGCGATGACGCACAACGCCGGAGCGTGCCCCCTCCCCCCCCCTCCTCCCTTTCCCTTTCCCTCATTGCCTCTCAGACTTTGCAATGAGGAGCAACAACAGGACCAAGTGGATTGGCTTCTCCCAAACCCAAGATGAACGGACTCCCCGCGCAGAGCCTCCACGTGGTTGGGAGCACAGTTGCTAAATATACAACTCTGTCTCCAATAATAATCATCCTTGCATTTGATACGGCGCCTTACCGCGCGTCTTTGGGATTAAATGAGACTTAATTCATTAATTACGTTTCGAAGCGCTTCGCTGGAAGCGTACGTCGTAAAGTGGATTGACTGTGTATTTATGTTAATATGATGTACATATTTGTACAAATATATATTTCGTATATATTTTATAAATGTGTAAACTGTATATAAATATATTTATATAACTGTATATAATGTATATAACAAAATAGTATTATTAAATAACATTTCCAACATTGGCATGTGATACAGCTCCTATAATGATATTAATAGGAGGGAGGCAGGGGAATTTCAGCCCAAACTGATCCTGTCTTTACCTGACATACACACACAGGCAGCAGGGACAACTGAATAACGATCAGGACATGGAACCTCGGCCAAGTTTCCTTCTTCCTGGCTCAGGGATTCTGAGGCCAATTGTAGCATCTCTCCTGCTGCCTCCAGCTGAGATCAGCTAACTCAGCACAGACCGGGAATCGAACCAGCAACCTTCCTGGTGTGCTTAGCTCACATTTGCTCTGGGCAGCGGCTTTAGCAATGAACCGCCATGGGAGGCATGACAGTGCTTGTTCAGCCTAATGTTAAACAACATATGTTTCCACAAGCTTTCAGTATCCCAGTAGCCCCTTTGATCAGGGAAGTAAATCTGTTTCTGGCTGAAGCAGGAAGATTTAAGTGATAAGCAGCCCCCCCAGACGATGCTTTTCTGTAACTCTAAACGCCACACGGCCCGTGCAGAGCACAGTTGTTGCTCTGGAACAAATCCAGAACTGAGGTTTCAATAATGTCTTTCAGTGGATCCACTCTGGATTCATTCCAGGATACACGTTACCACCCGAGCGGGGCTTGCTGCCAAGGTGTTGTCATTATAGCACTCTCCTGATAAGTGCATAATTGATTGTGTACTTATTTCACCAGTACACACACAAGAGAAGAGTCTACAAAGATATAAGGAGATATTAAATTAATTTAGTTGAAGAGATCTGTTTATTATTTTTGCAATAATAATGCAAAACAGGACTTCTTAAAGAGATCAGTCTGAAACTCACACTGCCTTGTCTCAAGTGCAGACTAAATCATTTAACACAATTAATAATGCCATAACATCAAAATGACTCAAAGCAATTCAGAGGTAATTGCTGTGGAGTTCAGTTGTAGGTAAACATGGTAGCCATTTGTGCACAGCAAGATCCCACAAAGAGCCATGTGGGGTTTCTTAATGAATTAACTTAATAGTCCACGTGAACAAGGACTTCAGTTCAACATCCGAAGGATGGTCCCTCTGACATTGCAGTGCTTTATCTCACTGGAGTGTCAGTCTGGACTGTGAACTCAGGCCCTGATGTCGGGGATGTGTGAGTGTTACTTCCTCAGCCAGACAAGCACCAGTTAGTTTAAGGAATAAGCTATAAACTTATATTTCCACCAGCGTGACATCACAGTGATGGTGTTACATCACAAATAAACCTCAGTGAATTTCCTGCGGTAGATGTACAGTACTCAGTAAAGGAGAAGGAAAAGTCTTGGGAGATTATGTTTAGGTTCGTTAGAGAGAAGTTAAAAATAGTCAATCCTTTGGAAAATTCACACCAAGTTACCAGCCATCAATGCTTCTTGCGAAATATGTCACTTACAACTGCACTTCTAAAGCAAAATTCATGAATAGAGAAAATAATTGATTTATTCCACCAATACTGTAACGAGCAGATCAACATGAAGGACACTGCCAGTCATACAAGGTCAGTCCTTGATACTGCCCACTATTCACCAACGGGGGGGGGGGGGGGGTGGGGTGTGTGTGTGTGGGGGGGGGGTGTGTGGGGGGGGGTGGTGTGTGGGGTGGGGGGTGTGTGTGTGGGTGGGGGTGTGTGTGGGTGGGGGTGTGTGTGTGGGGGTGTGTGTGTGGGGGTGGGGGTGTGTGTGTGGGTGTGTGTGTGGGGGTGTGTGTGGGGGGTGTGTGTGTGGGGGTGTGTGTGTGTGGGGGGGGGTGTGTGGGGGGGGGTGGGGGTGTGTGTGTGGGGGGGTGTGTGTGTGGGTGTGGGGGGGTGTGTGGGGGGGGGGTGTGGGGGGGTGTGTGGGGGTGTGTGTGTGGGGGTGTGTGTGTGGGGGTGTGTGTGTGGGGGGGGGGTGTGTGTGTGTGTGTGTGTGTGGGTGTGTGTGTGTGTGGGGGTGTGGGGGTGTGTGTGTGGGGGTGTGTGTGGGTGTGTGGGGGGGTGTGGGGGTGTGTGTGGGTGTGTGGGGGGGGGGTGGGGAGGGGGGGGCACAATTATTAGTTTTTCGTCAATGTCAGTATTAGAATTCTGCCGCAAGTGTTTCAATAGATCGAATAATTTTTTTTTTGCATTTGATACGGCCCTCATCGCGTCGCTGTGAGCGCGCGGTGTACTGTCCGGACAGGACTTGCTGCAGAGTGTAGTGACTGTGCATTCTTCGCAGGTGACAGACACACTGACAGGCGCGGCCCCCGTGTCGTTGCAGGATGATGCACTGAGAGGGGCGGCGTGACATTCTCCCCGAGTCCTCCCGGCCAGAAGGGGGAGCGCGTCACGGAGAGGGCGAGAAGCGGCCGAGGTCTTGTCGGTCCGCGGGGGAGGGGGAGGGGGGGGAGTCGCCTCTTTCCGGCTCCTCGCGCCCTCCTCGGCGCGGCCGCCCGGGCTGCGGGGGGGGGGGGGGGAGGGGGAGGGTCGGAGGTGACAATGGCGGCGGCCTTGGCGGACGAGGAGATCGACAACGATGACTTTTACGCGCTTCTGAACGTCAGGAGGGAGGTGAGCGGCCGCGGGGGGGGGGTGTGGTGGGGGGGGGGAGACGCTCCAGGTCCCGAGCCCCCGTGGGGGGGGGGGGGGGCCGCCGGGTCACAGCAGCACAGACTGACAGCTCTGGGACCCCCCCCTCCCGCTCCCCGCTCCCCCTCCGCTTTTAAATAGCGACGGCGATCCTTTCCATTTGCCGTCGTGTTCGCGGTGCGCGTGTGGGGTTTTTTTTTTTCGCGGCACCGCCACCGGTACCGGTCGGTCGGTCTCAGCCTGGGCTCAGCTCAGCCTGGCTCGGGCCGGCCCACGCTCTCGGGCCCTGCCCCGAGTCAGGAGGGAGGAGGGGGGGTTGTTCCAAACGCCTTGGGATAATAATAATGATAATAATGATAATAATAATAATAATGATAATAATAATGATAATAATAATAATGATAATGATGATGATAATAATCCGTGCGTTTTTGATATCGCGCTGTTGAGGCGTCTCCAAGCGCTTCGCTGCGAAGCGTACAGCGACTGTGCGTATCGTGGACGAAACGCGGCGGCCCGTCGCGCCCCCCACTCCACCGCCACCCTCCCCTCCCCTCCCTCAGCAGCCTCGGATCCGAGTGACTCACGTTTTGTTTTTTCGAGGGACGTCCCCCCCGACGTGAAAGGCGCTTTACACACACACACGTAATTCGTCGTTGCTGTTTGTTGCAGTTGGGTTCAAGCCCCTGCGCTGAGGGACTCGGTGAGCTCATAGTTCAGGCTGACCCTCCAGTGCAGCACTGGGGGGGGGGACGCTTTATTGTCAAGAGACGCCGTCCTTCGGATGACATGATAAAACCAAGCTCCCCGCCCCCCCCCCCCCGCCCCCACCCCCCCCCCCCCCCCCCCCCGCCCCCCCCCCCCCCCCCCCCCCCCCCCCCCCCCCCCCCCCCCCCCCCCCCCCCCCCCCCCACCGCCTGTGCCTGTTCAGACGCACGTCAGAGATCTCACGGTGTTACTCAAGGATTGAGTAAGGAGTGAATCCAAGACAAAGGAGTCACCCCCCCCCCCCCCACCCCCAAGTTTACTGGCCCCCACATAAAATTGATCACTCACATCATGGCTATTTGTTGGATATCGTAATTGCATTTTCCCCAATGCCTGAAATGTTAATGTCTGAAACCCCTCCACAGGGAACCACGGCCAGTGTGGCGACTGGTTTTGTGGGTACATATGGCAGCTAATTTGCACACCTCAAGGTTCCCCACATGGTAAAATGAAGGATTAATTTATCAGGACTTATCAGCTAGGAAACCGGGAGACAAATAGGATCCATGGTGTTTGCTCCTGAGCACTCGGAGATGCTCCCCTGCATGAAGGGCCCTACATAAATGCACGTTGTGGTTGTTGTCGCTCCTGATCACTATCCAGTGACCCCTGTGTTGTATGGAGTCACCCAGGCAGCGTTATTGAGTGATGTAGCTTGTCACTCCCATCAGACGGCAGTGGTGCCTTGCACTTTATAACCACATCAGACATGAGCCATCATTCACTAAGTATTGAACACATGACCTTAAGAACTGAGCAGTGATGGACGATTCAATCTGCTGTCTCAATGAATTCAGTATTTGAGAGAAATGAAACCATTCACTTGTATCACATAATCGATAGATTATTAAACAATTTGTCAAATGGGCAAAGAGCGAAGGTCATTTGTGAAATGTCTATTCAAGGATTTTTGCTTCTAATTTAGTTTTAGATTAATACTGGTGTGGGATATGGCTGTCTGCGTCAGGTAGTATTTTATCTTTCATCTTGACTTCTTGTCGGTGAAAAGTGTTGCGTTTAAGATTGCGCCTCTACGTTTTGGCTTTTGTGGGATTAACCCTCTCATGGGCAAATTTTTTTTCATCTTTTGTGCACTTTGATTGGTAACCAATATTTCGTCGTTGTGCTATGTGAGGAACTGTCTTTAGATGGCAGGTGGTGTCCCACAGAATCCACTAAAGACTTAGCTTATTGCCTGTGCTCTAACCTCATCCAATTTACCCTACCTTGCGGACGCAATCTCTGCTTCTTTGCCTCTGCTTTAGTCTTCGTTCCCCACTGCCATGAGAGCGCATAGTTTCTATGCCTTGAGTTATTGATGTCAAGCAACCATCTGTTTTAGGTGAGGGGAAGGCAGGGGAGGAAGGGTCTTGAGCACTGATCAGGCAGCTGCTGTCACAAGTCTATAGATGAGGATTTAGGAAAGTCCAATGAACCAGCCCAACAAAAAGATTTTTTGGCAATAAAAGCCCCAAGTGAGTTTTAAACCCACAACCTCTGATCCAGAGTCAAGAGAGCTACTAACTGAGCTAACATGGCACCAGGGACTGATCTGCAACCACAGCTTAGAATGCTCCCTTCCAAACCTTTGGACAGACTACGCTAATAACTGTATTGCTACGTGTTTTTCACAGCTCCAAGTGGACAGAAATGAGAATTTCATACTTCCGCTGTTTCGTTTCACTGAAAACCCTGAGAGCAAGTCAATCCAACAACAACCAGTATTGATACAGTCGCTTTCACAGAGAAGAATGTCTCAAAAGTCTTCACAACGGGAGTGGTAGTAGACACCGAGCAGAAGTGTTAGGGGATTGGTGGTAGCAGAAGGGGTGGGAGAAGAGATAAGCTCTGGGGGATGTTGAAGGCAATGAGAGAGGGAGCAAAGTAGTTTAAGAAAAGAGCTACGGAGTATAGGGTTTGGTGGCTCAAAGTCTGGTCTGTGGCAGAGCAGACAAGAATAGGGAACGTTCAATGAGAAGAGGATGTTGACTGGTGATAAACTGGATGATATTGGGAGATGAGTGTTATTTTGATTTCAGTGACATTTCTTTTGATAAGGAATTTCTCAGGAATCAAGTATTTTTATCTCTCTATCCTCTAGTGCTCTTAAATAAACTCAAAACGTTGCCTGGTTCAGTTGTGCTGATTCGGAGGAATAAGAAAGCACAGTCTCGAGAGTGTCCATGACTTTGCTGATACTCTCCTCCTATAGAAAAGTGGTGGAAGAACAGGTCTTCTCTTGTGGCTGTGGAGTTCTGACCTACTTAATCCACTCACAAGTTATTTCTCTACGAAAAAGCTTCCACCAAGTGGCTGTTCACTGCACTGAATCCATCTATTAAAATTCCCAGAGCTGGGAATGATATTGTTGTCTCCCTAGATTCAGTAAGCATTGAAAAGCCGCTTAAGAGGCACATTGTTCTAACGCTGCCGATTGCCCGTGTGTTGACTGCAGGCCACATTGGATGAGCTTAAAGCTGCCTATCGCCGGTTGTGCATGCTCTACCACCCTGACAAGCACCGAGACCCTGAGCTGAAACAGAAAGCAGAGTCTCTCTTTAACTTAGTTCATCAAGCCTATGAAGGTGAGTGTACACACAGGGTGTTTTACTTCCTACCTCACCTACACCCTGCATGCACTGCTCTTTTATCAATTCACTTCATTATTTTGAAGCCATCAATCGGATCGCCTCTTAACCTCGACAGTTGTAAGGAATACAACCAAAGTCTCCCAGGCCTCTTGTGACAGCTAAGTCTGAGGTACCTCCGTGCCTGCCTCCCCTGTAGCACAGAGAAATCCAGGACGCTGTTGTGGAGAATTGCTGATGTCAGCTCCGTCTGACTAGTGTGGCCCAGAAAGTCACAGTACAGATGTACTTAATTAAGAATAATAAATGGGAGAGTCCAGACTTCTAAACACAGCCTAAGTAACCACACTGTTCCCAGGTTCCTCCTTACTGTAACAAATTATTTTTTGCGATCCACCTCATTCATTTATTTCTCTCCACAGTACTTAGTGATCCGCAGAGCAGAGCCATCTATGATATCTACGGTAAAAAAGGCCTGGATATGGAAGGCTGGGAGGTAAGTTCATGTTATTCCCTGCCCTAAGGCTATCCAGACAAGACCAGGAAATACACTAATCTCTGTCGGATGTAGTGACTGTTTTTTTTGTAGACAAACACGATAGGTTCCACAACAACCTTGAAGTAAACAATCAATGAATCTGATGGATTGATCTACAGGTCTGTGAGCTGACTGATTCCTCTTTGCAGGTGGTAGAGAGGAAGAAGACAGCGACTGAAATACGGGAAGAGTTCGAGAGGCTACAACAAGAGCGGGAAGAGAGGCGACTGCAACAAAGAACGAACCCCAAGGTAGGCGGCAGCTAACTGAGGAAACAAAATGGCTGCAGTTGTGGTTGTCGATGGTTGCAAGAGGCGTTACGGTGTTTGCGCTCTCCTTGCTTCATCGCCTCCAAGGAGGAATCAAGTTTGCGTCCAGTAATCCACCTTCAAGGCTGTAACCGGTTCAATCTTTGCCAACAGGGGACGATAAGCGTTGGTGTGGACGCAACGGATCTATTCGACCGCTATGAGGAAGAGTTTGAAGAGGCGAGGAGTGGCTTTCCTCATATTGAGATTAATAAAATGCACATATCCCAATCTATTGAGGTGAGTGACTTCACAATAGCCTTTGGAGAGAATGGTTTCAGATTATCGCGTGGTAATCTTTTCAAATTGTATACTTGCGCCTTCTGATAGCCAAGAGCAACACCGAGCCATAGAGACGAGTAATGTAGCAATTGTTCCTGGGTTGAGGAGGGGGGAAAATCAGCTTGCGATCAGAAGTTGAGCAGATTGGCGTAAACCTCGGGAAAGGTCAAGATTGGGGCTTGGTTGTGATGCTCCCCCCTGTGGAATAGCTCCCTACTGCCGGCCCTCACTGGCTAGATTCATACATGCAGACTAGCCTCCTTAGAACTTATGTCAGAGTGTATTTGGTGTTGGTGGAACCAAACCATAGCAATCGGTGAGGAAGAGCGTTAAGGTGTTCACTCACTCAGTGACGGTGAGGAAGCATCTTCAGGAAAGGAGACGGACACATTGAAATCCATTCAGACTCCAGTTGATGGGTCGCAATGTTTGTGTTTATTTTTTTGCAGGCTCCTCTAACTACGACGGATACAGCGGTGCTGTCAGGCAGCCTCTCCACACAGAATGGAAATGGCGGTGGCTCAATCAATGTTGCATTTAGGCGGGTGACGTCTGCAAAAGGTTGGGGAGAGGTAAGGACACTCGATGGGATGGGACTCCTGGAATTATCTCTCATGTCCTCGATCCTGAGAATTGAATTGGGGTTGCGCTCCATTCAGGATTATTATAAACCGGGGATAAAAGCAGGTATCATGCAAATCCTCAGCCCGCAGTCTGTTCGATCAGTCTGAACAAAAACAATACACTTTACACATGTGAATAGATTTCTAAAACATGTTTCTGCCCTAAAGTGACATTTGGATCAATTAAAGTTAGTGCACTGATCATTACCAAGGATAATTGGAACATATTTTAATTTTGACAAGGTCATTTTTCTTTCTTAAATTTTACGATAAGATCAGGAGTTCTGTACCACAGGAGTGAATGGGAAAGGATATTTGGTTCATTGACTCTTTGTATTTTACGATTAACAGTTGGAATTCGGAGCGGGAGATCTTCAAGGACCTTTGTTCGGGGTGAAGTTATTTCGAAACCTCACGTCACGCTGGTAAATGATACTATTACAAATTTTTTTTTGATGGGGTGTTCAGGTTAAAGTGCCTCCTTTTTGTTTCTGTATTTTTTCCCCCCCAATTTCCTAGTCTGTCTGGCCTAACGTTGGAGCTGTGAGTAGTTAACCAGCCCAATGGCCTCTGAGAAACCAGCTGCTCAATTGTGGCTATCTGATGTCTCCATTTCGCAGGATTTCTTTGTCGAGAAAAGGCTTAGAGAGCACTTGATGATGATATTATCTACAAACTTTGTGTTTTTTTTCTCTCTCGGCCTCCCCGCAGTTTTATTACCACTCACTGCGCACTACAGTTCTCCTCCCGTGGAGCACGCCCTGGCCTGACCACAGTCCTGGCCCGGAACCTCGACAAGAACACAATGGGTTACCTGCAATGGCGATGGGGCATGCAGTCTGCCATGAACACCAGTGTTGTGCGGGACACCAAATCTAGCCATTGTACATTAGCGTTCCAGGTAAGGCTGGAATTTGCAGTTCTCCTTCAGTAAATGTCTCTCTTATTGTACTGATTTTTTAAATCCCTGTTTGATTCTCCCTCCATCCTTTTCTGGAGGAGTTTGGCTTCTCCCATCTTCTGGAGTTAGAATGTTCTCCACTACAAGTGGCCATTATTCACATGCAAGCCTGGATACAGAGTGTCTACCAGGCTATTCAAAAGATCACACGAGATTTGGATGAAGGTCCCCAACCCATTTGATTTCACGTTTTCCCGAGCACCCTGCCTGCCATCATGGTATAAAGCTTTTCTTTCAACAGTACCAGAATTCCGGCCTAGACCACTCTTCCCGGTAAACTGCTCCAGCCGGTGGAAAGAAATACTTCCTGGCATTTGTCCTAAACTTCCTCTTCAACTCCACACACCTCGTGTTCTGCAGCCTCAGAAATCTGAAAGTCTTGTTGTGGGCTTACTTGAAATTGAACTTCTTCTTCGACCGTGCCTTCGGTCATCTTCCCACCATCACCCCCTTGCCCTCCACGCCTCTTGACTCCAGCCCGCAACTCAGGTGCAAACCATTCACTGTCCAGCGCCTTGGGGTGTCCTCCCGACATGAAAGGAGCTATATAAATGCAATTTGTGGTTGTATTTGGATTCATGGTTTAAAGGCATGACATGGGAAGGGTATTGATTTATGTTATTATTTTTCTTCTCTCTGCCCCCATCTGTGTGTTGGCTATAGATGCACTAAATAGCGCTCCAAAACGCTATACAAATGTGAGTTTTGTTAATACCCAGCACTGTCTACTCGGAGTTAAAAGCTCTTTAACCTGCAATGGTTTATTCACAGCTCGGCATTCCCCATTCATTCGTACTGTTGAGCTATCAGTACAAGTTCCAGGACGACGATCAAACCAAGGTGAAGGGATCCATCAAGTAAGAAATTAATTTTGTTTTCCTTTAATATATAACTGAGAGAAAACATGCACCCAGCATACAGTACAATCTAAAGAGTATCCATTGCTATGCACAATTGGCTGCCACGTTTCGCCCACAAAATATACAGTCAATTCACTTTACAGTATATCCTGTGAAGCGCTTTGAGATGACGTGATAAGGCGCTATATCAAATGCAAGGAATACTATTATTATTAACCTCAAATTCCAGTCAGATGTGTAGAGATTCTGGTCTCCCTGACCTGACCGGTTTTATACATTTTCAGTTCATGCGCCATAATGCTGAAAAATCCCCTAAATTGATAATGACAAAAGGTCTTTGTTTGTGACTGTAATTCCTAAACTACTAAATGCAACACAAAAACCCATTGTATGGTTCTCCTGCAGGTCGGGTTTCTTTGGCACTGTGCTCGAATACGGTGCTGAGAGGAAAATCTCCAGACACAGTGTTTTGGGAGCAACGGTCAGCATAGGAGTGCCCCAGGGGGTGTCACTCAAACTCAAGTAAGTGTCACAACTGATTGTTATAAAATGTTTTGCCATTGATGCAATTGGGAAACACTGAGATGTGAGAGGTCTTCTGTAGGATTAACAGGGGAGAGCGTTGCATTTACAGGTACCAGAGATGTCTCACAGCAAGTTTCAAAGGTGCCTATGTTAAGGCTTCAGCAAAGTTCCCGGGGAATGGAGAGGGAGGGATTGCGCTTTGTGCGTTTGTTCCACTTCTAAGTGAATTCTTGGGGGTCAGTGAGTTTATCCAGTGAAGATACCAGGAAGATCCCAGATTACGACCACTGATTTTCCCGAGTTACTGATCTCAGCCAGGTTTGGGGTAGGGGCAGTATTTGGGGCTACAGTTGGAAGGGTGAGAGGGAAAGTCAGCCTATATTCCCTGCTCCCAGATCACCCTGCCCACACAACCATCTCCAAGTAAAGGAAAAGGGAACCAAACTGGACAGGAGAATTTCAATGAGCAAGAGATTAATAACATGAACTCGGTTATTTCTGTTCCCTTTTGCTACAGGTTGAACCGAGCCAGTCAGACGTACTTCTTCCCCATTCACCTCACAGACCAGGTGCTGCCTAGTGCCATCTTCTACGCGACTGTGGGACCCTTAGTCATCTATTTTGCAATGCACCGACTGATCATCAAACCCTATCTCCAATCACAGAAGGAAAAGTGAGTGTCCCTGCGTCACGTGAGAGGTGTCAACAGTGCCCTTAGACACGTGGGTTACGTGACCCAGTACAGTACAACTCACCCATAAGAATTGCTAGGTGAAAGGCCTAGGTCCATCCAGTTCATCTTCCACCATCCTGGCAGTCGCATGTACATGTCGTGTTCCAAATTGTCCCCAGATATTATTTCCAAATAGAATTCTATCTAATTTAGTTCTTAAACTCCTGGGGATCCATTATTCAATACAGAAACCATCTGCGTTCCTCAGCGACTGATACCCGTGTTATCTTTTGAGATGTTTCAAAGATGTGTTAACGCGCTATATCAAATGCAAGGATTATTATTCTCTAATTTATTGGAACCTGGACGGACCATTTTATTGTATCTCGTGCCAACACCGTCAGCGGCAAGTTCTCTTCATTTCAAAAAGAAGTGTAAAATCTCTTAACAAGGAAGAGCGGGTAGGGCGGGTGTAAAACGAGCCTTGTTTACAATACAGATTTTTTTCCCTCTCCTGTCAGAGAACTAGAAAAACACAGAGAGAACTCGGCAAGTACTGTGGCGGTAAAGAAACAGGAGGCTGAGGCATCGGTAAGTGATGTGGGTTTGAGGTTTGTCTTAAAATAAAGACAGAGGAACGTATAGAGGCCTGGGAAAGACTACTCAAACCATCTATCTGGTCTGGAACAACCTATCTGGCCATCTCTCTCTCTCGTTCTCCTCAAATGAATTATTTCTCAAATCGCTATCTTTTTGTAACAGAACCTGTGGGAATGATATGCGGCTACTATTTTTAGCCTGTGGTAAAAGATCATGATTATTTCAGCGCTCGTACAGCTGTTTCTTGGGTGAATGATGAGGCTGGTTCCTAACTCAGTGTGTGCCTCACACCTTGGGCAACACACAAGAGCCTATAGCTTCCTCCACTTTCATTCTGGTGCAAAGCCTCCAACCCCGCTAGATGCTTGGCTGGCGACTGCAAGATACTTTTGAGACGAGAGTGAGCTTGTGAAGCCACAACACTTTGAGGAGTGTTTGCGTGAATGAACGCAGAGTTTTAAACGGTACAACTAACGGGGAGTTTCATTTTGTGGCTGTTGTTGTGGGACATTGCTGTGCACAAATTAGGGGCTGCCTGCTTCAACAAAAACCCGTGAAGGGCTTTGAGATGTTTGAACGACATGATGCAGGTTCTGTATCAAGTATTCGGATAATCGGTATTAACAAAGGATCAAACTCGAGCCAAGTCAGAGTTGTTACTGCTGCAGGACTGGGACTCTACCAGTGGGCGGCAGCAGTAAGCGTTACACCGGCTTCTTGGGTCACGTTGTGCTTCAGACTCCGCGGATACAATTAAAGTTTCCGAATAGTTTCTCCGTTCCAAAACTCTTCCGCTAATCCCCCTCCCCTCCCCAATATGCGGTAGGAACAGTTGCTACGTATATCCTTATGGGTTTCATTTTAAACCTTCAATTCGTTTTCTTTTTCTTTCACTCCCCCACCTCTCTCCCCGTCATCTGTACAGGCGATACCTTGTCTGATTGAAAGTGCAGGAAGGTGAGCCAGGCCTGCCCTTGTTCTGGTGCCTCCCATCAGTGGAACGGCAGAGGACAGGGACTCACCAAGTGAGCAATCTAAATGAATGAACTGACTGAATATTTTGCCCACAAATTATTCAGTCCATTCACTTTGTAGCATTTCCTGTGAAGCGCTTTGAGACGCCTCAAAGACTGGATAAGGCACTGTATCAAATGCAAGGATTATTGTAATCTCCTCCTGTAACTGCAGTGTCCGATAAGTCAACACTGACAACAAGCCTGACAGTGTCACAGCAAGAAAATTCACTTACATTTTGTATATTTCTTTGTGCAATTTGGGCTTTCCTCATAACTTTATGTTGCTTCTAGGTCCGGTTGATGCAGGAATCTGTGAGGAGGATTATAGAAACTGAAGAATCCAAAATGGGTGAGGACTTTTAAGAGTTCTTGGGAGCATATTAAGACGGGCTTTGGTCTTGGGGGATGAATTTTCATGTTTGATGTGTAAAACGTTGGGGTGGGGGGGAAGAAACAGGATATCATGGGCTGAAGCCTAGCATCCCCGCTTCTGATAACCTCGTCTCCAAGAGTGGGTGGGTTTTTAGCCTCGACAAGCGAAGTCTCCGGGGGGACCATATGGCAGAATGCAAGGCAAAGCAAGTGAATCCACGACAATACTTTCAGATGTGCATGAGAGAGAGCACAGATTCAGGCTTGTAAAGAGCAACTTTAAGGCAGACACAGGAAAGTATTTTTTTGCATACCAACTGATTAAATGCCGGCATGAGTTACTGGGAAGTGTGATTGAGACCTGACTCGCTTAACAACAGCCATTCGATGCTTCAATTTAGAGTGGATGTTACAAGAGAATGAGATCGAATGGGACTTCTTCATTCAAAACCTGTGCTTTGTGAGGTGGTGGTGGTTGGGGGAGTGTTTTAACACTGTGAAGGGGAATATTTGTAAAAACAGCTTCTTCTCCCCACCAGGTCTTATCATAACTAATGCCTGGTATGGGAAGTTTGTGACTGACAACAGTAAGAAGCACGAGAAGGCCAAGGTGATCGATGTGACAGTTCCTCTGCAGTGTCTAGTGAAGGATTCCAAACTCATCCTGACTGAAGCTTGTAAGGTAAGACTCGGTCAGTGTAACTCAGTGTTAATGTAACTTCTTCTGCCTGGGTTTGTAGGTCTCACACCAAGACCTCTGCCAGTGCAGCTGAGCCAATTGGGTTGAATTGAGATTCACAAGCGACAACCTTCACATTTCCTCAATTCTCCTTACGGAGAGAGGGAAGGGGAGCTCAGGCTCCACGTGAGTTTTAGCGATGTGCATATAGTTAGTTACGTGCTGCTCCACGAAGTGCATGTTTTATGTGGCTGTTTCTCACAGTCTGGCCTGCCGGGGTTTTACGACCCGTGTGTCGGAGAAGAGAAGAGTTTGAAGGTGATTTATTTGTTCCGAGGAGTTTTGCATCAAGTCATGACGGGGAATGCCGAATCACTGAGAATACCCAAGCAATGTAAGTAACCCAAGCAATGTAAGTAACAGTCCATGTAAAGCAGTAAATGGGAGGGAGAATGGATTTCTCACGATGTCCTGGCCGTCAGCTATATTGGGACTTTGCTGTGTGCCGAGAAGCTGCCATCTTTGCCCACAAGACCAGCCGTACTTGAATAGTAATTACCATGAAGTGCTTTGAGATGTTTCAAAGTGACGAATCATAAAAAAAAATTCTGTGGCTGGGTGGGGAGAGGGGAGAGATTCAGCCTTTGGGGGGTGGGGTGGGTGGGAGGTGAGCAGAAGTGCAGGAGGCAAGTGTAAATTTAAATTCTTGGTGAGATCGTGTTATACAGCGGGAAACAGGACAAGACTTTGGTGGTGTGTCCATGTCAGAGCAATGCCCGTGTTTCTCTCCACAGCTCACAGAGTTGACGTGGACGGATGAACAAGTGGGAATCCTACGTGGACAGTCATCTGGGCTTGGACTTGACTTGAACACAGACCAGCTGCTAAACAACTTCTCCTATAAATTAAATTTAACACAAATGCACATATGATTTTTATGTATGTAAGAGTTTTGTGGGTGGGGGGGGTGGGAGAGAGAGAGAGAGAGAGGAGGGAAAGAGATCTTTTCCATGTATAGAAGATTTAAAATGCTTTTACAGGTCATTCAATGGTCAACACACAAAAGGACGGGCACTAGATGCTGCCACATGACCCGGGTCACTGTGAAGCACTACCTGATCCAACAGAGTGTGAGAGTGTGGAACCTCAACTAAGCAGCGCCTTTCCTGGCAGAAGACTGAGTTTTATTAAATCTATTTGATGTACAATAAAGAATAAAACCAGATACTATTGATATAATAAAATAAAATCATTACCAGGATCGAAGGGAGGGTTGGGCTTTCTCTCGAGGATTACAGTGATGAGATATTGGAAGGCTTGCTGTGGAAGAAAGGCAGTCTGACTGGACTGGACCTCTGGGACCCGTGGGTGAATCAGCCCAGACTGAGGGACACAAGGCCTCTGCCCACATCTCTCCCATCCTCCCCAACCCCATGTTACAATGCTGGAAGAGATAATTGTTTTCAATCGCACTCACTTTCCTCCCTCCACAGCACGTACACACACACACACACACACACACCGTCTTTGCTCCATTTTATTAGATCATTCTGAAGCAGTTCAATGACATAACCACGCACACACACTGGATGGCAGTGGTGACCAACCAAATCAATGTTCTTGATTGAACATTTCTTCATTTGGCTGCTCAGTAGCTACTGGAAACAAGGCATTGATTTTGAACGGACTCCCCTGGACTGGTCGGCGACTTCAGGCCAGGGCTTGGCCACCATTGCTGTATGAGAATCGCAGTCCAGCTCTGTCCATCTCAAACAACAAAGTCATTACCACAATCCACCCTCTCACACTAACTTCCCTGCTGCCAAAAGGGAAGCCAGTTAATCTCCATGCTGTACCAAGTCAATAAATCACCTCCATATTTCCTCTTGCACTATATCAACTTCCATAACAAACCGAGTTGAAATTAGTTACACTTGATCTCAGCCAAAAGGCTGTGAAGTGGTCTTCAGTCGCTACACTTTACAGTGAAACACTTCTGAGACGTTCTCCTGACGTGAAAGGCGCTGTATCAAATGCAAGAATTATTATTATTTGCAGGACAATTTGCTGGTTGGTGTGGACTCCAAAGCAAGATCCTTTCTTCAGGAAGAAAGAGTAAGGCGAATGTGATCAAGATACAGTCAACAAGTAGACTTGTTCAAGAGGTTTAAAGACAGCAAGATCAAGCATGTGGAATGGGAAGGTGGCTGATAGCTCAGCCACTGATGCTGGGACGGAGGAGAAAGTCGTGCAGTGGGCCTGAGATTGTGAAATGAAGGGAATGGCCAAGAGGGAGAGTCAGGTCAAAATAACAGAATTCATTATTTTTTAGAAAGTTATAAACAGAGGATTAAAATTTGCTTTTAGAGAAGGGCGAAAGGCACGGCTTTAACTGAAGATACATACGGAGCCTGCAGTGTTAATGAGATGGAGTGCAGATGTCTCTGCTTTTATAAAGTGATATCAAGAGGCATCGATTCCACACTGGCGTACAATAGCGTCTCAATGTTGCTCAGACAGATCAAACACCCGAAACTTAAATCGGAAGCACACAATTAAAGTGCATTACATTGCGTAACCCGGACTGAAGTGTAACTCGAGCGTTTTCCACACAGCAAGAGTACAGCTGCTTACAGCAATTCTTCATCTGCGCATCAATACAAAAAGGAAATAAGTTCACGGTTAATGCAGCGTAGCTTCTTTCACCCCAAGAACATGTTCGAAGCATTGAGGCCTTATCTTTATAAAGTGTGTGTGTTGAAGTTCAAAGGTACAAGATTGTCACCAAGAAGGAGATTCCTAGAATTGCTTACGGCAACCATGTGACCAAACCATTTGGCCCAGGGTCCAGAATTCCTTTCAACGTGGTTCCTGTTGAACGTTTTAACTTTTGCAGCTGTAAACCCCCTTCCTTGGACTAACTCGGTGGTTTCGGCAAGTACAAACTGTGACAAAGTGGGTCCTTCGTTTTTGCCACAGCTTGAGAATGGATCATTTGAATCTGCCCAAGAGGGAGTCAACGTGAAACAACAATCATTTTTTTTGGCTTTTCTGCCTTCCTCAGTCTTAATTTTCGTTGTTCACACATAATTTGGTGTCCAGTGTTTGCACGTAGCAGGATTGTTGTCAGGACACACAAATGCCCTTCTCCCCCCACCCCCCCACTCCTGTACTCACCGGCTTCTCTCTCTCCACAGCAGCACTTTTATTCTAAGCAGTCTTGTAGCTGGTTTATCTCCACCACGTACGTCTCGCAGCCAGGTGACAGGTCCCTGGCTCTCAGCTCCTCCAGCTCGTCCTTCAAGGCCTGCCATTTCTTCACCATTTTCCTCATCTCCTCCTGCTTCACCTTCAGCCTCTTGCGGAGCCTTTCGTTCTGCTCCAGCGCCGTGTACAGCCTCTTCTTCATGATGCCCAGGTTGGTGGCGGCGTAGGTGTGGTCCTCAGCTCCCTCGAAACAGGGAGCTCCCCCAGGATTCCGCCCCGGTGCCTTTTCCTCCACTCGACTTGGGTTGACTGTGGGCAACTGACCAACAGAAAGAAAACAACTTCACAATAATAATCAGCCTGCATTTGAAGAGAACACAAAGCGCTGTCAAGTGTATTTGTAGGCAAACACGACAGCCAAATAATATATACACAGCAAATTCCCCACAACGCGAACAACTTGCATTTATATAGCGCTCTCCACGCGGGGTAGCATCCTGGTGCGCTTCATACAGCTGTTGAGACGTTTCAAAGCGCTTCACAGAATATAATAATAATCCTTGGATTTGATATTGCATTGTATAAAGAATAAACTGTAAAGTGAACTGACTGTATATTTTGTGGGTGAAATCGGCAGCTAATTATCTGGAGGGCTGTTGGGTCAGGACACTGAGAGAAACTCCCTTCTCTTTTGAATAGTGTCTTTAACATCCACCTGAACCTCGGATTAACATCTCATCCTAACAATGGCATTCCGAGACTCTCCTCGCGTGAAGGCGCATTATATAAATGCAAGTTGTTGTTGTTGTTGAGTGCTCACCAAGTCCTGCTTTGGAGTGCCAATAATTTTTTTTATAATTAAAAAAATTCAAATGATTTTTCTGCAGTAGGGTATTTCTCCGCTTACAATAATACATCATAACCCTGAAGGAATTTAATAGATATTTAATGTTAGTTGTTTTAGCATCATTCAAAACTTATTGCACTATTAATTTAATCTCACCTCAAAGTGAGATGGGTTTACTTTTCCAGTGCTATTCTGGGGCAGGGGGGAGCCTTGCATTGTCAGAGAGACAGAGACACCATCCTTACAATGAGACACTTAACTGATGTCCTATCTGCCTGTTCAGGTGGATTTTTAAGTATTCAACACCTCCCTACAGAAGCTCAGCAGAGAATTGTGAGCGTGAGCCAATGCTCTGATACTCTCTGGTGTATGACGCTCCACCACAAATCACAGGATATGTATTCACCGTTTCAATTCTTTCCTCAGTCACTTCAATCTTGCTTTTGATTTCACTTGTCAATTTTAATTTTTTCCTGGCCTGGGGTTTCTGCGGGAAGAATGAAAAGAACAAGTATCATCACTATGTAGGCAAGTCTATAACAGAGAGCGACAGAATGGAATGCAAGATATTTAATTTATAGAAGTTGGTTTACGTAACAACACTCTTTACTAAAATATATAATTTATTTATATCTGGAAGAGAGAAAGTATATATGACACACATACACAAACACAGAAATAGGCACAGACAGACAGAAACAACAACAACAAGATTCCATTTATAAAGCGCCTTTCACGTCAGGAGGACGTCCCAAGGCGCTGCACAGTTGGGTCAGGATCCGAGCAGGGGGAAATGGTCAGGGTGAGGGGAGGGAGGGAGCGAGGAGGGGGAAGAGAGTCGAGAGGGGAGCTGACGGCTCGGTCAAAGAGAAAGGTTTTGAGACCGGCCTTGAAGGAGGAGAGGAAGCGGCGAAGGCACTGGGGGATGGAGTTCCAGAGCCTCGGGGCTGAGAGGCTGAAGGCCCGACCACCGATGGTAGGGCGGTTGGGGCGGGGGACGTGGAGCAGACCAGAGCCGGAGGAACGGAGGGTACGGGCAGGTAGGTAGGGGGATAGTAGGTTGGAGAGGTAGGAGGGAGCGAGGCCATGAATGGCCTTGTAGGTGAGGATGAGGATCTTGAAATCGATCCTCTGGGGGATGGGGAGCCAGTGGAGGCGAGCGAGGGTGGGTGTGGTGTGGTCGCGGTGTCTGGTGCGGGACAGTACACGAGCTGCAGAGTTCTGAATGACCTGCAGCTTGTGGAGGGAGGTGGCGGGAAGGCCGGCGAGGAGAGAGTTCCCATAGTCCAGCCTTGAGGTGACAAAGGCGTGGACCAGGGTTTCAGCAGCGTGAGGGGTGAGGTAGTGCCGTAGTCTGGCGATGTTCCGGAGGTGATGGAAAGACATACACATACAGTTCAGAAGCACAAAGTTACAGATATACTACATACCACACATAGACATGATACCCATGCTCTTCATATCTACAGTGGGCCAGACCCAATCAGTGTGGATATCAAGTTCTACTACTGCAATAAGACAAGGCAGTCCAACTGGCGGCCCATGGGCCGCATCTGACCCACAGGCTGGTATCATCCGCCACCCACCCTCCCCACACCCGCCATTTCATCTGGCCCATCCACTCCCTCCACAAATCGTAAATGTTCTGTTATGTTTCTGGTAGGGAAACCCAAAAATATTGCTTATGCAGCCCGCAGACATTTCTCAAACAGGGCACCCGGCCCTTAGCAGCCAAAAGGTTGGACCACCCTGACATAAGATACTCCTTTTAATCTGAGTCAACTCTGTACCTTCATGGTATCTGGGTAGTGAAAGATTGTGGGCACTGCATTGTGCTTCAAATTTTTCCGGTTGCCCCACGTGTTGAAACACTCCAGTTTGAAGTGCTCGGAGCAGATTACCGTGTGCTGGGTCGGTTGGAATTCTGCCCTCCCTACATTGTTCACCCATTCTTCAAAGAGGTCGGGCTTGCTGAAGGGAAATCTGTGCAAAGAGAAAAGCCAATCAGGGAATGAAACAATAATTAAAATGACATTTTACACTGTACTGAATATATCTATAATATTATATAAGGTGCTGGGTGTTATTTGTGAAAGGTCAGTTCATACTCTGATACCATATTACCCTGTATGTTAATAAATAAATATTACACTGAATGTTAATAAATGCCTTGCATTGATATAGAGCCAATGCCGCATCATCGAACCGTCTTAAAGCACTTCACAGCATTCACTGCAAAATGTAGTGCAGGTGAACGCAATATTCACTTTGCGAACAGTAATACAGTGCACAGTAAGCAGTATAGTGACAGTGTATATTATATCACTATAGCACACCATATATTAAACAGTATTAAACACATGACTGTTTGTGGGACGCTGCTGTGCGCAATTGGCTGCCGCGTTCACCCACAATTATACGGTCAACTCACTTTACAGCATATTCTGTGAAGCGCTTTGGGACGTCGAGAAGACGTGAAAAGCGCTACATCAAATGCGAGGATTATTATTGTTAGTAGCAGTAGTATACACAGTATAACTCAACCCCGCCCACCACCATCATCATGCTATCAATATCCCGGCCACAGGGTTTAATGTATTTATACACACTCCTAAATCGCCGCTCCAGATAACTCGCCACTGAGGCCTTGGGGGGGGGGGGGATGTGTGTGGGGGTGTGCGGGTGTGTGTGGGGGGGGGGGTGGGGTGTGGGGGTGTGTGTGTGTGGGTGTGTGTCTGTGGGGGGGTGGGTGTGGGGGTGTGGGGGTGTGTGTGTGTGGGGGTGTGTCTGTGGGGGTGTGTGTGTGGGGTGGGGGGGTGTGTGTGGGGGGGGGTGGGGGGGTGTCTGTGGGTGTGTGTGGGGGGTGGGGGTGTGTGTGGGGGGGGGTGTGTGTGTGTGGGTGTGTGTGTGGGGGGGGGGTGTGTGTGTGTGGGGTGGGGGTGTGTGTGGTTGTGTGTGTGGGTGTGTGTGTGTGGGGGGTGTGTGGGGTGGGGGTGTGTGTGTGGGGGTGTGTGTGGGTGTGTGTGTGTGTGGGGGGGTGTCTGTGTGGGGTGGGTGTGTGTGAGGGGTGGGTGTGTGTGTGTGTGTGTGTGTGGGGGGGTGTGAGGGGTGGGGGGGTGAGGCTCACCTGTGGAAGGTCAGGCCCCTGTTCTTGCTCTGTCTGTTGGTGCAGTTGTAGGCAGCACATGACTTGGGCATGTCGCTTGTGCGCCTGCGCCGCTTTGCCCCCCACAATAATGGCGGCGGCGGCGACGCCCGCGGGCCCCGCTCACAGCGGCCGCACTCGCCCTCCCGGCGCTCGCCGTCACAGCCAGACCCTCCTCACAGGCCTCTCCGGTGGCGGTGGGTGGAGGGGGGGGGAGAGAGGGGGGGCCACCGGAGCCGGTTCTTGAGGCGAAAAGTCCTTGTGAAGCGAAGGGAGAGTTAAAATAATAAACCGCATCGGGTGAAGCTCGAGCGCTGCCTCCCCGCCGTGAGCGCGGCCTTGACGTGATGACGTCGCCAACCCCTCCCCCCCCCCACCGCCGCCGCCGCCACGCGGGCGACGTACCTTTGCGCCGTGACATCACGGGCGACGTTTGCCACGCCCGCCGCCAGGGTTTTGGCGGGAAAAGCCAGGGGATTTTTTTTCTCTGAGACCCACTCAATAATAATAATAATACTAATAATAACAATGATGATGATGAGAGTAATACTTGCATTTGATATAAGGCCCCGATCACGTCTCAAAGCGCTTCCACGGAATATACCGTCAGGTGTAGTGACTGTGCATTCCGCCACAGCCACGACCCCACATAGCCCCGAATTGACTGGACCCAATTATTATTATTATGGTTATCACCGTCGTCATTATTTCCCGCAAAGCGCTTCGAGACGTCGCAACGGCACGGAAACGGCGCTGTATCAAACGTGAGGATAATTATAATGGCAATAAGGTCCGTCTCCCGAGACCTTAATAATAATAATAATAATCCTTGCATTTGATACAGCGCTTTTCACGTCGGGAGGACGTCCCAAAGCGCTTCACAGAACACACTGTAAAGTGAAGTGACTGTATATTTGTGGGCGAACGCGGCAGCCAATGGCGCACAGCAATGTCCCACAAACAGTCGTGGGTTGAAAATGACCAATTTATTATTGTTTTGTTTTTTGGAGGGATTATTATTAGGCGTTTAACCTTAGCCTTTAACCTCACCTTCCGTTATCTTCTGAGCCACGTCCCTGCTCCTTAATCACTATCGACGGTGAGCCCCACACGCCCCGTCGCACACAGTTGGTTGCCCTTCACCCCGACCGACACAAATTAAAGAGAAAAAAAAACACCCCACTGATTAGCACCGGGCGTCAGAAATTAAAACTTTTTAAACCCGTTAAAATACCAATAGTTAAATCTTTATTTACAAAATAGTTTCCGATATACACGTATACAAAGTTTCACAGAAACAAGGTTTTTGCTTTTGTCCCGCTTTGACGATTCCCCTCTCCCCCCCCCCCCCCGTTCCCCCCGTCCCCGCCCCGCACCAAGGAGACCATCCCGTCATTCCCGGCCACGACACCAGTCCAAAAAAAAAGGCGCTGGTCCATGTATCAAACGACCATCAAGTGCGGATCTCCCTACCGCGAGCGAAGGCACCGCTAGAACGTGGAATGTCACGACGCTAGTCTTTACATTTGCCCCTTGTCGGTAAAATAATTTAAGGGGGAGGTGGTGGGGGAGGGTAACTGGAAAAGGGTTTTTTTTGTGGAGGGAAACAAAATTGGCAGAAAAGGTTACAACCGTGAGCACAGGAAGAGAACTGAACATGCTTCGGACTGTGTCGGTCAGAGGGGAGCGAGGACGTCGACATCGATGTCTTAAAATAATCTCTCTACATTGAAACTGGCCATGACGGTTACTTACTTACTGACAATTCGTTCAGGGGTGAAGAGCTTTCATCCTCCAAAGATTGGCTTCTTTTCCTCCCACTCCCCTCCACCCCCCTCACCCGAAATTGAAGGGCGCCTGTCCTCCAGAGGATTAAGACACCGTTGAGGAAAACGTCCTCCATGGAAAAAAAATGGAAGTTTCCCCCCAGTCCTCAAAAAAAGTATGTCAAGTTATTTGCTGGACGTTTGTGTAGTGTTAACTGTACATCCACCCTGCTCGCCACTCCAAACCCAATAGGCACTGATTGAAACACGGAATCAACTGCTATGCCAATTCGTGCTTCCCCGGACATGTCAATGTTTGGGTAGTAGCCAAATCAGTGAATAACCAGGGTAATAAAGCACGCTCTGAGTGAACAACACAGGGTAAGAAACAGAGAGATTCTCTCCCTCCCCCAAACTAACTGGAAATCACATGAAGTCATCGAGGCACGATGGGAGGTTGAACTCATGTGAGTGAAGTTATAAGGTGCAGTTTGTGTGTTGCGGGGGGGGGGGGGGGGGGGAAGGGGGGTGGGGATGGTGGTGGTGGGATGATGGAATCAATGTATATTTTCTACATACGGTCATCCCCATTTCTTCTCTGTACCCCCCCTCTCTGTCTACCCCCCAGCTCTCTTTCTCTCTCCCCCCCCCCCGCTCTCTCTGTACGTCCCCTCTTTCTCTCTACACCCCCCCGCTCTCTCTGTACGTCCCCCTCTTTCTCTCTACCCCCCCCCGCTCTCTCTGTACGTCCCCCCTCTTTCTCTCTACCCCCCCCCTCTCTCTGTACGTCCCCCTCTCGTTCTCTCTACACACCCCCTCTCTCTGTACGTCCCCCTTCTTTCTCTCTACTCCCTTCTCTGTACGTCCCCCTTTTCTGTACGTTCCCCTCTTTCTCTCTACCCCCCCCCCCACCTCTCTCTCTGTACGTCCCTCTCTCTCTCTCTGTACGTCCCCCCTCGCTCTGTACGTCCCCCCTCTTTCTCTCTACCCCCCTCTCTGTACGTCCCCCTTCTTTCTCTCTACTCCCTTTCTGTACGTTCCCCCTCTTTCTCTCTACCCCCCTCTCTGTACGTGCCCCCCCTCTCTCTGTACGTCCCCTCTCCCTCTCTGTACGTCCCCTCTCTCTCTGTACGTCCCCTCTCTCTGTCTACCCCTCCTCTTTCTCTCTACCCCCCTTTCTCTGTACGTCCCCCCTCTCTCTCTCTACCCCTCCTCTTTCTCTCCCCCCCTCTCTCTCTACCCCCTCTCTCTGTACGTGCCCCCCTCTCTCTACCCCTCTCTCTGTACGTCCCCCCTCTTTCTCTCTACCCCCCCGTACGTCCCCTCTTTCTCTCTACCCCCCTCTCTGTACGTCCCCTCTTTCTCTCTACCCCCCCTCTCTGTACGTCCCCTCTTTCTCTCTACCCCCCTCTCTGTACGTCCCCTCTTTCTCTCTACCCCCCCTCTCTGTACGTCCCCTCTTTCTCTCTACCCCCCCTCTCTGTACGTCCCCTCTTTCTCTCTACCCCCCTCTCTCTGTACGTCCCCTCTTTCTCTCTACCCCCCTCTCTCTCTGTACGTCCCCTTTCTCTCTACCCCCCCTCTCTCTCTGTACGTCCCCGCCCCCCGCTCTCTCGATCTACCCCGTCTCTCTCTCTCTCTACGTTCCCCCTCTCTGATCCCCCCCTCTTTCTCTCTACCCCCATCTCTGTACGTCACCTCTCCTCTCTCACCCTCCCCACCCCACTCCGCTCTCTCTATCCACCACCCACCCCTCTCTTTACCCCCGCGCCCCCACACACAGAGAAGCTGGAGCCCCCCCCCCCCCCCAGCAGTCAGTCCACCCGCACTATCACACGGCAAAGGGAGAAAGGGAATAATAACCTGATTTCAACACACGAATTGCTAACAACGAAACCTCGCAAACACACAGGAAGACATTTCTCCCCGGGTTAGCCTTCACCCAGACACACAGCCACACACACCCACACACACACACACAGTCATACACACACACACACACACACACACAGTCATACACACACACAGCCACACACACACACACAGCCACACACACACACACACAGTCATACACACACACACACACAGCCACACACACACCCACACACACACACAAACACACACACAGTCATACACACACACACACACAGCCACACACACACACAGTCATACACACACACAGCCACACACACACAGTCACACACACACACAGTCATACACACACACAGCCACACACACACAGTCATACACACACAGTCATACACACACACACACAGTTATACACACACGAGATACACACACAGCGTTATATACGCACACACAAGACACACACACACACACACACACACCAACGTGAAATTAAGTCCATTTTAACCAGCGTTCAGCCCAGTCCCTGGACTACATTGCACACAGTATAGTATCTACATAAAGACAGTAACAAAAGGCCAGAGTGTGTGTGTGTGTGTGTGAGAAAGAGAGAGAAAGATCGGTGTTAACCCAGTAAAAGCATTCACCAGCTCTCTCACCATAGTTCAACACTTATTTGCCTGTGATTTGGGAATACTGTATCGTCAATGGTTTATATGTGTATTTACACACACACACACATCTCAATGATCTTTTAACAAAGTGCACACTTTAAAATAACAATCAAGGGAGGGAGGGAGAGAGAGAAAAGGATAGGGTTTCGCGAGGTTGGAATGGCTTTGGTGAACGATCCGCCTCGAAAATAGATCATTAGCTTCTGTGTGTGTGTGTGTGTGTGTGTGTGTGTTGGGGGGGGGGGGGGACTGCTCGCCATCCAGGCAAGATGGCGAATATTTATTATATATATATAAAAATAACACACACACACCAGGACTTGGGACCTGTGAGAGGCAGACAAGACCCTTGAAAGGGGGGGGGGGCAAGACAGTAACTTAAAGGGTTATAATGCCCCCCCCCCCCCACTCCCTCTCTCTCTCCAGTGTAAGGTAAGCACAAGTACTGTACTAACGATCATGGACAGATCAGGATCACACAACTCTCCCCCTTCTCTCTCTCTCTCACCCCCTCTTCCCCCCCCCCACCCACCCCATTAGGGAGGGAGGGGGGTTGTGTGTGTGTGTGTGGGGGGGGGGGGGGCAGCCGGAAAAAAAAGGGATTTAAAAGAAATCTAATGTTTAAAAAAATCAAGCAAGATGGCGCAAAACTGTAATCAGAGAGCTGTGGGGTTATGAAATCCAACCCCAGCGCCAGGGAGAATCTAACCAGAAAATAACCATTTCATGTCTTACCAAGAAAATTACAATCATCTCTTTCCCCTTTTTTCAGACCAAAAGACTGACTTCCACACCCCCCCACCCCCCACCCCAAACCCCACCACACACACACTCACACACACTCTCTCACACACACACCACCCACCCCCTCCCTG